TTAAAAAAAAAAAAAAAAAAAAGAGTGATTACCATTTTGATTATCTCCGATTTTCACCTGGGGCTTAAACAGTTGGGCTCAACTCCCACCTGAGTGATTACATGAGGGTTTGTTAAGGACTGATGAGCCCTCACTTTGGGTTGTGAGTTCTACACCCAAAACCTCTCCAATCCCTTTAATACACAAGGGCTTCCTGTGTGCTTTCATTCCCAGAAAAGCCATCCTCTGTGTCTTTGTTGAAGCGCTGTCCCAAGTGGCTGAAATTCAGTTTGCCTACACTTGGGGAGTTGCGAGTGCCAGGCAATTTAATACCTCCCGGAGGCAGTCTCTACTCAATGCTCGGTGGGTGTGGGGGTATAAAATATGTCAGCTTTCTTGTCCCCTGATGGAGATAACTCTGAGGAAGTGCCTCTACTGTAGAATTGAGTCAAAGTGACTGGCTGTATGACTTCGCTTGATGCCCTTTCTGGTCTCCTTCTTTTCCTGCTGTTTCTCTATTGGCTTGTTCTGGGAACATTTCCTAAGAAATCACTTTAACATGAAGCCTCATCTCAGGGTCTTTTTGCAGGGAATCCCTTTCCTAAGACAGGTAGTTCACTGTTGACCCTTGTGATTGCCTTGCCTGGATCATGGAGGTCAGCCACACACCTGAATAAAATGGGTACTACCCCTGGAGCAGGAAATAAGATGTTTTCCTCTTTATAGAGGATCCTGCCCAGATCTCTCCTTCAGGACCTAGCCACTCACTTCCCAAGCTGCTGGGAGTCCTAGCAGCTCACTTCCTTCTCTGTGATAGCCGTTCTGGACTGGCTGTTCAAAGTGGGAGTTCAAAGGCCAGGCCCCCTTGTCTCCATGTCGGGTACCTTCAAAGAGCTACCCCAATTCCAGAGCTCCCATAGTATCAGCTAAGGATGCTGTTGCAATTCTTTGTAAACCTGTTCCTTCCTCTACCCAATCCTGCTTTTCTTACTCTCCACAGATGTTCTAACGGACATTCTTCCATAAAACTCTTGTGAGTAAATCGGTGTCTTAGAGCCTGTTTCCTGGGGAAACTGACCTTATATATTTTTCAACACAGAGAGCGAAGGGAGGGAGACCTGAATTCAGGTTTAGAGATGTCTGCAGTCTCAGAGGAGTGTCTTGATTCTCTCATTTGCACATAAAACAACCAAAATATGTAGCTAAATTTTATTTTCCAAGATCAGTAGGGAGTTGTTTTAATTTTTGTTATTTATTTTACTAGTACATTAAAATACTTTTATTTATTTGTTTTATTTTCTTCTAACAGAAACAAGTACTAACTAAATACTCTTCAGGATGATGGACCACATTAACCTTCTCTCTACCAAGTACACTTTTTCTTTATTTGTGCTCTCACCAATATTAAAACAGCAGTAATCTGGCAGTCAGTACTCAGAAGTACATCCAGAGAAACACTGTGTGCTTTTAGGATAAGCTTCTGTAAGTTGGAAGAAAGTTTCCATCATGTACTAATGATAACATTTCCCTTGGGAGCAGATGCCCAAGAGAATAGCAGTTTCATGGGAGAACTTTCATTAACTGCCCAGACAAGTTCTTGTTGACTACAATTAATGACAAAAGATATGCATGGGTTGGAACACTGTGCTCACACACACACACACACACACACACACACACTCTGAATCCTCTCTTCCCTTCACCATCTCCTGTCAGGCTCTGTCAACCAATAAGCAAATAGGACTAAATAAAAAATGTTCATTAAGTTATCTATTGTGCCTAGCTGTGCTGTGGCTTCAGAAAATGAACAGGATTATGCCTGGTGTTTTGCCAGGTATGACATAGTATTAATAAAGAGAAAGACATAATCTCTGCGGTGAAGCTTTAGAAGAAAATAAATTCTGAAGAAAGTATTCTTAATAACATTGAAGATTTAGCTCTACGATATTTTATAGATATTTATTAAATACATTTTATTAGTACTGTTGAGATGGGAGAGTAGTAAAAGGGAAAATGTGTGTGAGTTCAGACTGGCTGGCCAGAAGGAGAGTAAGATTGCTAAAGAGGACATAGCTACTGTTGATTGATTTTCCCAGTTTAATTGGTTTTCTGACCTATTGTGACAATTCTTCTCTCTTGAGTTTATGTAGAAGAAGATAATAGTGTTCCACCACTGTCCAATAGAACTTTCCTATATCTACCACGTCCAATATGATAGTAACTAGCCACATGTGCCTACTGAGCACTTGAAATAAGACTAGTGCAACTAAAGAATGAAATACTAATTTAACAAATTTAAATTTAAATAGCTAAATGTGGCCAGTGGCTACTGCATTGGACAGTGCAGCCTACAATTATGTAACAGGGTGAAAATTTATTAACATTTACCATCAGAATTCCTTTTAGGTGTGAAAATGTGTTATGTTGGGATTGACTTGTGTTATGCCCATTTGGGATATGTATTTCACTTTCTATGTCAGAGCTTATTTAATTCTCAGTTTAACTCAATACAGTTAACTCAATAGTTACCAGTATTATTCCCATTTTAAAGGAAACAAATCTGAAGCACAAAGGGATTAAGTAACTTGTCAAAAATCACTTGGTAAGTAGAAGTCCAAAGACATGACTCAGCAGGTGCTAAGTCACCATGGTAGAAGAACAAACCGCTTGGCACAAATTAAAGGAAGTTCTGAACAGAAGATGAGAAGCGTGAGAAAGATGGAGAGACTCTGGGAATCTCTGGGGTCAAAAGCCTCAGAGGCTACAGGCCAGAGCGTAGAGCTGTGCTTTAATTTAAGTATGATAACCACAAGTCACACGTGGCTGTTTAAATTTAAATATAATTAGAATTAAATAAATAAAAATTCAGTTTTTCAGTTACACTGGCCACAAATTAAAGTGCTTAAAAGCAACACATGGCTGGTAATGACTGTATTAGTGCAGAAGTAGGACATTTCCATCCTTATAGTTAAGTCCCATTGGACAGCACTGAGTCAAAGGATAGTTCAAGGATGGCTGTATCTGCTGACCATGGGAGGCAGTTTTCACTGATATGAACCTTTCTGTCATCCTTCTCTCAAATTGTCAACAAAGCCCATTAATTTCACAAATGCTCTGTCGGGGTAAGTGTAAGTTGAAGAAAGGGCTGCATTTCTTACCTAGGTCAATATGACACGGTATATTGGATGTCCTTCAAAAGGAAGAGGCTGAGGTGATCACCAAACGTTGCAAAAAGCATTGTTGGGTTAGAAGGAGGGTTTGAACTTTCATAAACTATGGACTTAGGGGCATGGTGGTGTTTTGAACCAATGTTTACTAAGGTTTGTGGATACAGTGACCCTCCTCCTCCCAGGTGACAGGATTCATATGATCGCCTTTATAATGTAAAAACTGTTCTTGATCTCAGAATCTTTAAACCATTAGTCGATTTTTTTTTAAAGCTACAATTTGTGGTCAGTTTTTTTCTATTCATCCTGTTACTGAGTTTAATTCACCACACAGGTGACATTCCTGGCTCTAAAAAAATAACAGTGGTTAGCAATCTAACTGCAAGACACTGTTTTAAGCATTTTATGTTTTAAATTTATTTAATTATCATATTAACTCAATGAGATAGTTAGTTATTCCATTTTAGAGGTAATGAATCTAAGGCACAGGAGATTAGGTAACTTGCCATGAGTCGCGTAGTAAGTGAGAGGCAGAATTTGAATGAATTTGTCCCTAGATGCCAATAAATGTCTTTCTTTTGTTTCAATAGGCAGATAACCAGAGTGCCCTGTGGCTTGTTGGCTTGGCCCTGAATCTCTCCCTTTCGTATTGCCTTCACTGATACTTCATGACAAGAAGAGCCAGCTCTGCAGGTGAATATAAGACATTAATCCATGTGCCTGTGCTCCCTGGGAGTGTGGAATGGGAGAACTGAAAAGCACCAGGGACATCCTGATCTCTGAAGATACCAACCTCTACCCTTTGGGTGGAAAATAAAATGATCTCTGACCCATTGTGCAGCTCTCTGAAGAAACTGGCTGCCAAGCTATCGAGAGCGCCTGGATGTTCTCTGAACGTTGGGTTGGCACTGTTTCACCATCCATGTCAGAGAGGGGAGACAGAGAGTAGTATGTAAGCAATCTGTAATTAATTGTACATTATAAACTTGCAGAATGGTAGTGCTGGGATGGACTTTAGCAGTCATCTGGTCTAGACATTCTCAATGGCTGGGCTGTAGATCATGTTTCAGAATCATTCAGGAAGATTTTTAATCATGCAGAGGCCAGGTCCTACCCCTGGAGATGCTGACTTAATAGGTCTCTGGTAGGGTCAGAGCATTTGTACGCTAAGGAGATGCCCACTAAAAGAAATTCATGCCCTGGCCGGGGGCTCAGTTCTCAGTTGGTTGGAGCGTCGTTCTGGACACCAAAAGGTTGAGAATCAATAAGAACACATCCTCGGGAGTGGATTAAAAAAAATTAAGTACTAATCATTTGTGTCTGGTTATTGTTATACATGCCATTTCTTATGTGTGTATTTTTGAAATTTTTCAGCAGTTTGAATAATGTTAGAAGGAATATCAGAATTAGAATATCATCACTCTGTAACCCCTAATGAGTCAACGGATGTAGGCAATGGTTGTCAATAGCAATAGATCTAGACAATGAATAATACATAAGAATATTGATGCGATGTGAAATACTATGGATGAGTGAATACTTTAAGCTGTTGTCCCAAAAAAAGATGCCCAGGTGATTTCAATGACTGGTCCAAGTTGAGAACATTAATCTTCCTTCTCTTCATTATTCATATGAGAAAGAGTTAAGTCATGGAGCAGATACCAAAATAAAGCACCCACTCAGAGACCCAAACATCTTTTATCATGTGAGGTCTTTCCTCCCTCTTAGACTGTACTGAAGTGTTTAAAGAAAAAACAACCAGCATATGAATCCTAGCAAGATATGCTTTGCCTCAATTTCCTCTGTCTCAATTTTGGTAGTTCCTATAGACCATTTTGGTCAATAAAATATTGTATCTTGCTGTATCATTACCTGCCAAGTGGAGAGAAAAAATAAGGTAGTTAATGTAATTACTGTCCCTACAGTAATAGTCCATATATTATCTGTCTAATCTTCTAAAGAACTGGGTGGTACAGAGGGTGGCAGATGTAATATTCCAAAGACCAGCGTTTTAGAAAGGTGACTTTATTACCGATCTAGGTAGTGGAGGAAGTTGAGAAGTGGGAGGGGAATGGTAGGAAAAACACTTTAAGGAATCTAGGGCTCTCAGAACCTTAAGGGAGGTAATGCTGAAGCAATTGAAAGGCTTGGAGCTGAAATACTTGGTTCAAACCGTGGGTTTCCTCTTACTACAAGTAGACTTTGGAAAAGCCACTTAACCTTCCTGAGCCTCAGTTTCCTCTGATGTAGCAGGCTACATTCACAGATTGTTGTGAAGATTAAATAGAGTGACATAAATGAAAGATTATTTGTAAACTCTACAACACTAGGTAAATGTAAGGGGCCATTACCTAGGCTCATTCACTCTGCCAATGAACTAGGTCTGTCTTTGACAGTGGCCAAATCCAGGAATGTGGAAAGAAGCATTTAGCTTTCTTGCAGATGGGTGGTTCTCCCTGAATCTAGATTGTAGCATCATTTCTATCTCTGGCTAGAGAATCCATGATGTCTTTTTAGACCAAATAACTTACTTTCTATTTATTCTCTTGTCTCTAGGTAGCATACAAGGAAAGGGAGCTGGAAGGGGTGTCATGGAGAGGAAGCAANTGTCTTTTTAGACCAAATAACTTACTTTCTATTTATTCTCTTGTCTCTAGCATACAAGGAAAGGGAGCTGGAAGGGGTGTCATGGAGAGGAAGCATAGGGTGAAAGGAAAGCAGGAGCCCAGGCTGCCACACACTATTTTAAGAAGCAATATTTCTCTATAATTTGGCAGAGAGAGGGTGAAACAAACAAAAATATAATGTGTGATAGAAAGCAGAACTGAGAAAGTAGGAGTGGGGATGCAGAGAAGGTAGGCATCCTTCCAAATAGACCTGGGTTGGGGTGCTCTGTAGCATGACATCCCAAAAGCACTGGAGTTTCTTGGTTTTGTGCATGTCTCTGCTGTCCTACCAGCCTATTTACTCCTCTGGGTTCCACACAGTACCTAACAAAGTGCTATGCACATAGCAAGAACTCAGTGAATATTCGTGGAATGAATAGTTCTTCCATTAAAGCTGAAAATTGAGAGTTGGCTACACATATTTCTTTCCTTCTGTAAAAGGATTTGATAGCTCAGAGGAGGGCTGAGCCATTAAAGCAACATTGAGAATTCAGTCCAGGTTTGAAGTGATTAATTATCACCCTGTTTTCTCTGGCTTGGCCAGACACCAGAACTACTTTTAAATGTTCTGTGCAGCTAGCATCCAGCTAGAAGCTACTGACAGACTGAGGAACAGCCGAGAAAACCACTATCGTTGTCTAAAAATTTTGTCGAGACGTATCTTTGATCCTCTGTTAGCAGCCAAATTCTTGCTCTTGTGTACAGTTTAATTGCTACTCAAAGCAGAGTATTTTTAAAAGGTGCATCCTTTCTGCTTTGCCTGCTTCTAAATACATGAGTGAAAGATTTTGCTACTTAAAAAAAAATAAAGCAAGAGGTTTCTCCAGAATGTCGTTGCAGCACTGAGATCCTCTGATGTCTTAGATATTAAATAATACTATAGATATTAAATAATATAGCCACTAAATAAATATATATATGTAAAACACTGAGCAAGTCATGGGGATGCAATGTACAGTATGTTGACTATAGTTAGTAATACTGTGTTGCACATTTGAAAGTTGCTATATGAGTAGATCTTAAAAATTTTCATCACAAGAAAAAAAATCATGTAACTATGTATGGTAAAAGATGTTAACTAGACTTATTGTGGTGTTTATGTTGCACATGCAAATATCAAATCATTATGTTGTATACCTGAAACTAATATAATGTTACATGACAATTATACCTAAAAAAACACACAAATAAACACCACCACCTGACCAGAATAGCGTTAGTTTCTGAGTTTCCAGGCAGGTGATCCAGTAATGGTTGTTTCTGAGAAATTTCTTGCTTAGGATTTGTCTTAAGTCAGGTTGGTTAGAAGCAGAGCCTGGAATGGGGATACTTGTTTGAATGATTTACTGAGGGCGTGTTCCCAGAAGAATGGGAGTGCAGAAGCAGAATAGGGTAAGGAAAGGAGCTAAGCAAGGATGTGGTCTGAGCTGGAGACTGGTTTCAGCCTGATCCCTGGAACACCAACAGCACACACTACAGGGCTCCTTTTAAATGGTAATAGGAGGTTAAAAGCTCAGTAACTTTTGCAATCATTTTAGAACAATCCTGTGAAGGAGAAAGGAGTTCTGGAAACTCAGCTAATATAGCATTTCCTGCCTCTGAAAGAATTTCTGTTCCTCATGCATTTCCTTTGGTTAAAATAATCAAGAAGTAATATTTTTAACCTCTTATACTTTAGATTTTTTAAAACAAATTTATAAATATGGAAGAATTGACTACACTAAAGAATATTGCTTAAATTACTATTCTGGAAAGACATTGTAGAAACTAATAACATTTGTGATGCATAGATAGACATGGCAACTTGTTTGCATATTCAGTTTTTTAGTTCATAATAAAAGAAACAAACTTTCAAATTTAAAAATAATCCATGGTTTAGTTGTTACATAAAGGATGACTATTAAGTAGCAGCTCATCAGATGCACCAAGAGAAAAGTTTTACCAACATCAATGAGACAAATATTATGTGTCCAACTAGGAAATTCTACCAGCCTGAGTGAACTGAGCTTTGCAAGAAACTTCTTACTTGAATACAGTTGGTGACAAGAATTTTAGTATGTGTGTGGGGGGAGGGATGCTGGGAAGCATGGGATGGGATTGCAAGAATGATGGATTGTTAGATTTTTCTGTAGCTAAATAGAGAACGTAAATATTCTCTATACAGNATTCTACCAGCCTGAGTGAACTGAGCTTTGCAAGAAACTTCTTACTTGAGTACAGTTGGTGACAAGAATTTTAGTATGTGTGTGGGGGGAGGGATGCTGGGAAGCATGGGATGGGATTGCAAGAATGGTGGATTGTTAGATTTTTCTGTAGCTAAATAGAGAATGTAAATATTCTCTATACAGTTAAATAGAGATATGCAGCTAAATAGGGAATATACATATTATATATATACATTTTCTATATTTATTCTCTGTCTATACATATAAATACAAAATTGAATAGAAAATATTTATATAGTCTCTGGGGATATATATATATTCCCAAATGGTGTCATTTTATATTCATTTCACTGCTAGCACCAAAATGGAAATAACATTTGTTACCTAAATTGGGTTAAGGGAAAAATAGATTAAAATTCATACATCATTATGCATGTGATAATGTGATGAAGTTTGCCAAAATCACACATTATCTCTACTCTCTCTCTCTTTAAACCTCTTTTCAATTTGTAAAATAACTCAAAAACTTATGCTATCTCTAAATGTGCTATTTATTATTTTTTAGCTTTTTATTTTCCACCGATTATTTTTTATTATTCCACAATTTCTTTTTTAAATTTGTATGCAAAAAGGTATGAAAGAGCTATATGAAACACACAAAAAAAATCCTAAGTATGTTTAACACTATCCAAAATACTGTATGTCCATGAAAAAAGACAGACAGACATATACCTGGAATAAAAGGTACCAGAATAAAAGATACATTTTCCTATGAGAACTACAAAAATACCCTCAAGGGTAAGGGAGGAGATTGAGAGTTAGGAAACTCTGAAGGCAAGATGGAGTTTATAAAATATTACCAAGAGTCCCAATACGAAGGTAGCTTAGAAAAGATCAGAAGGATGGTGGTTTTTTACAGGGTAAGTAGACTGATGTGAGATAACCTCTGGGAATTAGCGATGTGCTGGGATCAAAAAGGAGTCTCAGTATGGAAGATGGAAATTGAGGGCATTAAGAAGACACAGTAGGTAGAAAAGAGTTCAGAAAGCTTTAAGGAAACACAGTTTAAGCCAAGTTCAAGAGAAAATCCTTTCTGCCACTACACAATCTCCCATCGTTTACAACCTAACCAAAACCCTTGTTGCTTGCTTAATAAAAAATAATAAATAAGTAATCCTTTCCCAGAACTGGAGCCTTGACTTGGCTCCATATCCTGTGCTCTCTCCAAGACTAGTACATCCAGGATGGCGGCCTCTGCATGTCGCAGGTGCCCACTCAGAGGTCACCCTTCCTCTCTGGTATCGACTTCATCCAGAGACCCTTGGAAGGATAACCCACAGCTGAGTCACAGAGACATCCCTCTCCCACTGCCCAGGAAAATTAATAAGAATTTTGTGTTTTGAGGTTAAAAGTGGGGGAAAGCACCATGCAGAGTGGGCTCCTTTGAGGATGGGGAAGCCCCTTTGATGACACTGTTAGCAGCTCAATTAGGACTAGCTGAGGTGAAAGTTAGAGATATTGGGTAGGCAGCTGAACGCTGGGTTTCAGGAGATAGGTCTGCTCTGGAAAGATGAATTTGGGAGTTGTTACCATCTAGATGGTACTTAAAACCTCATTGTAAACTGTAGGTTTGTCTTATCAGGCAAGCCTCTGATTACCTTCCTTACTTCACTGCAGAGAGAAGGTAAGAGCGTGAAACATTGGGAAAAATAGGGCTCTGTAGTGGGAAAGACCTGGATCAGAGTACTAGTTTTATTACCTGGCTAGTCCTGTGGCTTTGGGCAAGTTCCTTATCTCTCTGAGTTGCAATTTACTTATCTGAAAAACTGGATGATAACACTTCCCAGGGGTGTTGAACTCATGAAATTAAATACTGCATGCCAAACTCCTGGCACACAGTAGGTACTCAACAATTGATTTTCTTCCTCCTTTTAAAATCTGGTCTGGCTGCTTACCAATGATTGCAGCTCTGTTCCTAGTTCTCTGGACTAGTGCTACTCAAAGTGTGATCCTTGAACTCATAGCAAGAGCATCGCCTGGGAGCTCATTAGAAATGCAGAACTTCGAGCCCTGCCATCCCCGGCTTACTGCAGAAATTCCAGGGTGGGACCCGGCAATCTATTTGAACTAATCCTCCAGATGATTCTGGTATACACTAGAATTTGAGAACCGTGGCTTTAGAGTCTGTCCATTCGTAAGCTTCCACCTGTCACTCTCTGCTCATGGTCCTGCAGAGCTGGCTGTTGTCAGAAAAAGTTACATTAACCAAGTTAAATGGTTTTACTTCAAATTCATGCTATTGATCCTTTAGCCCTGACCTCTTAGTTGAGTCCAAACTTACACTTCCAATTCTTTCTGCATTAAATAAAGCTGTTTCTAGAAGATACTTAAACAGCAATTCACTCTACCCTGCCCCCATTCCCTTCAAAAAAACAAAAACTGTAAGACAAACAACTCTGACTTCCCTCTCTCCTCCTAGGTCTGCTACTTTTTAATTGATTTTTAGGGAGAGAGGAAGGGAGAGAGAGAAAGAGAAACATTCATCAGTTGCCTTCCACATGCACCCTGACTAGGGATTGAACCTGCAACCCAAGAATGTGCCTCGACCAGGAATCAAACCTGCAACCTTTTGGTGTACGGGACAATGCTCCAACCAACTGAGCCACCTGGCCGGGACTAGGTCTGATATTTTAATAATAAAGGTATTTGCTGACCACT